TTTATATCTGATTAGACAGAAGAAGTTTTCAATTTTGTTAAGGATTATATCTAGTGTTGGTTTGGTTGAACCATTTCCATCCAAATAGATACCTAGATATCTAATAATGTCATTTGGTTTTCTGAGTAATATAATATTAATTGATATGTCTATATAACAATATAACTAAGTAGCCATATTTGATACTATATAAATTTGAATAGATTAGCAGTACAATCAAAATTTAGCAGATCAGCCTGAATTATAGATCGGATTTCAACAACTAAATGAGTGGGCTATCACTATAGTTTCATTAGTAAAATTTTGAGTAATCTTTGGCAAAATTAATTAACGCTAACCTATTCTGATCCATATTTCAGGCTGATCTGCTGAATTTTGGTTGCGCTGCTAATCTATTCATCTAATTTACCCAATATGTAGTAATTATTCTATAAAGCAACAATACATATGTATCCATAACTAATAAAACACCATTGTGATGCCAGATAAAAGGCTGTCAAAAAAAAAGACCATGATAGTGAGCAATAATGCTTTATATTAATACTGTTTAATTTTAGTAAACTTCTGTTATCTTTTGCTATGCAAAGGATCATTGATGCTTTTGCTATGGCTGTCACCTTCGCTTCAGAATTTTTTTCCTAAAGCCTAGAAAAAAAAGACTTTCGAATTGCTTACCCTAACCCTAACTTAAATAAAAAATTTAATTAATTCTAACCTTTAAACTGAAGATATAAATGCTAGATAATTTTTACACAACTTATTGGTCATCTTTTAATATATACAATTTATATAAAATATTAGATGGCAAATAAGCTGTATAAAAATCATTCAGCACTTTACAAATAATAACAATTATTGATTTATACAATATTCAAATATATTAATAAAATGCAAATTTGTGTATGTAGCCATCTTAAACTATCTATAATATTTACATACCTATTAATCTATTAAACTATTCTACATTTAAAACTGTACAAATTTTAGTATAATGCCCTATTTGTTTATATTTATCACATCTTCTAGCCTTACTAACTTTAGTATATTCTAGTATATCTTTATCAGCTGTATTGAGTTTTGTATTATTTTTTAACAATAGCTTTTTTTTAAAAGATACTTCTACACTAAACTTAAGCCGTTTAGGAGGACATTCTTTATGCTTTTTAATATCAAGATTGCTAATACTTGCATTCTCAATACTATCTTTATGTCTTTGACTTTAAATTTCATATAAAAACTTTTTAAGACATCTCCTAAATCATTATATCGATCTGTATTGATAGCAAGATTAATTGCTTTTTTTGACAGTCCAAATAACTCAGCATAAATTACTTTGTTTTTTTTGATACCAAATTAGAATTGTCCATATTAGCATTAGTATTAGCATTAGAGCGAATTGAAAAAAGATAATCAAATGTTAAGTCTGAACTAGTACTAGTTTCTTGCATTTCAAATTCTTGTTAAGTGGCTATTGAAATAGGAATTGTTGGTGTTTGATTCATAAAATCAGTTACTGTAATATTAGGTTTTAGATAACATTGGTTTGAGATTAAAGCTATATAAAACATCACTACTGGAGAATATGTACCAACCTGAAAAAAGTGATGGCAAATTAATCCCTTATTAACTAAAAAAAACAGGTACATAAATGAGTACCATCTTTTAATATGATTACATAATGTCTAAGTCCAGTTATTCCTGTAGCACATATATGCTACATCTGATTAATTATTTAAAATGGTACATTTTGTATCAAAGATGTAAATAAAATTTGTCTTGTATCATAGTCTTGTTTTCTAATTCATAATCTAATTTCCTCATTATTCATATTTGCTTCAATTATTTTATCCTATTTTTGAATATGTTTGACGTCATAATACACTCTTTCATTCATTTGATCTATTTGTTTATCAAGCATAACTAGAGTAAGAAATTGTTTTAAAATTTTATACACTTGATTAAAAAAATGACTATTTAGCATTGATAATCCAACAGATGGAAGTGCATTGCGCTGAATTTCAAAATTCATTTAGTGCTCTTCTTAACTAATATGATCTTTTAGACTGATTAATAAATCATATAGAGATGTTGAACAATTGACTTTTTGATGAACATGTTTATTAATAAATTCGATTCTCTGTATACTTTGTATGCCTTCTGTAAATTGTTTACATATCCAAAGAACAGCTCATGACTCTTTATTGTTATATAAAGTTTTAGTTAAATAATCTGCTACTATAGGATAATTAATTACTAATTTTGCCCAATGCTTTTCAAAAAGTTCTTTACATAAACTGTTTTAGCACATGTAAAAATCAGAATGAAATAGTTCAAATTGTGAACCTAATTTTCTTCTTAAATTTTTTTGAATGTTCATATTGATATGAAATATACAAAGCATATGCTTAGTCATAGGATATACTTGTTTAATTGCATCTGCTATTGCAGAATCGCTATCTGTTAATATTATTGTGGATGTTATACCTGTTTCTTCTACTAATATTTTAAATATCTACTTAAAGGTACTTAGGGTCTCATCCTCAATAATACAACTAGCAATGATTCTTGTTTTGTAATTATTATCAATTATAACAACAATATAATGCATCATCTGAAAACGATTGATATTTGCAGTTGTATCCAGTATAATAATAATATAGAACATTTCATAAAGTTGCTTTTGTTCTAGTGATATCCAAATTAAAGAAACTAGCTTTCTTGACACACTTTCTAACTGCTATTTGACAACCTATAGTAGATTTCATCCTTTTATTTTAATAAAGTTTGGATCAACAAAGAGGCATCTGAGTCACCTGGGTTATTCTTTTATTTAAAGTTATATACAGCATTATAAATATCATATTTGGGGTCTTTGCAGTAGAAAGGACGGATACTGCCAAAAAATGAAAATCGAGTTTTTGCTATATTCAGATAAATTTTGACACGGGCTACATTTTTTAATTATAAATGGAAATAGATTCTCATAATAAAAAATCGAGATATTTTAAAAAAACTTTTGGAGGGTTTCGTACATCACGAGATTATCCGATATAACTGACCAATAAAATCACGAAAATTTTGATTAACCCGGATCAGTCCGAACAAAACAAACTCGATTTTCTCAAAATCATATATATTGACACATCCGCCCTTTCTACTGCAAAGGCCCCATTTGTTCAAAAAATGAGTAAGATAGTCATGTTGCAGTAATGAAAATATCGATCCAGAATCCATTCTACCCTTGACTATATATTTTTTAATATCAAATAACATTTTTGGTGTAAACTTGTGATACTGTGGACTAATTTTATCAATCATAGAACTAAGTGGATGGTTATGAGTATCTTCAAATGAATTAATCTTCACCACTGCTATTGTCTTAAATTGAGTAACATTTAATTTCCAAGAACATCCAATCTGTTGAGACTTAGCATTATGATATTTAAAAGAATTAGTTGTTACTTGTAGATTATTTGTGCTAGCTTTAGTTTATATATATGTTGCTCTTCAAATTATTCTATTATCTACCTCACTGGTTCAAATACTGTAACTAAATCCTTTTAGTCTCGCAAATTGATCGATCCAATTTTTAAAAGATTGCCAATTTTGAAATGAAAGACCTGGCACCAATTCTATGAAAGCTGATTCACTTTCATTATCATTCTGCCTATATTCATTATTAGCATCCTCCATATATCTAAAGCCAAATACTCATTATTGAGACAAGTATTATTATTAGCACCACTAAAGGACTTAATTTCAAGTTTACTAAAACAACTATTAAGACTGGAATCATTACTGAAGGAAACATTATCATTAAGAGCCATCATTATTATCAACTAAAGGAGCACCAGTGTTATTATTAGCATTACTAGAGGACTCAATTTCAAGATTACTTAAAATAACCATCAAGATCGTAATCAGCATTAAAGGAAACATTATCATTAAAACCAAAGTAAAAGCCGCTATTATTATCAACTAAAAGAGCACCATCAGAGTAAGTACCACCTGCAAGTAAGAGCTGCCATTATTATTAATTAAAGAAGCACCATCAGAGTAAGTACTACCTGCCTCACATTCAACTAAAGGAGTACTGCAACTATTATCAAAATAAATACTGTCTGCTTCACATTTAACTAAATGAGCACCGCAACTATTATTAGAGTAAGTACCGCCACCTGCTTCATATAATTGCAAATCCAATAAAGCACTATTATTGAATCCACTAACAAATTCTTGAGGTTTGTTTTCAAAAAAAAACTGATTGGCAGACATTAAAGATGTAAAGCATTGGATACAAGTTGATTGTTAGTGGCATAATTAGAATTCAATTTATCAGGCACATCTGGTTCTATAAAATAGTCTATAAGATCCTAGAGTAACTTTGTACATCATGATGAGACAAATAAAATGCATACCATTTTTGATGAAAGATCCATATAATTAAATTTTGATGGTGTTACAAGATCATTCTAGCAAAAAAAAGGACAATAATGATCATAAAAAATTTGTGAAAGTAAGAAAAAATATACTTTATCACTTACACTATCAGCAATATTTATTTTACCTGTCACATAATCAGTATATGATACACTTGTAATGAAAGTCAAAAGGTTGACATGCATGTGATTACATAATCAGTATTTAATACACATAGTGTCAATTTAGAAATATCTTTTTTGAAAAATATCATGCCTATCGAACTTCATATTTGGTGATTTATAAAGAATGGTCCTCGATTAAAATTTATTCTGTTTGTCTTCAAGATAACAATTTTAAAGGTTTACAAACTTATTATGCTGATATTCTTGCAAAACATCCTCCAATTCATGAAGACACATTAATAGCATTTTAAAACGTGATGATTTACAAATTGATGAATCTGAAATTTGGGATAAGGTCATTCAATAGAGACACCAGATTTACTTTATAACTTTAAACAATGAACTAAGAAAATTTTTTTAGACTAAAATCTACACTTAACAAATGCATTCATTTAATTTGATATTTTCAAATGATGAATATATTCATTTAATTTGATATTTTCAAATGTCTAGAGAAGAATTATAGCAAAAGTTAAATTTTATTGAAAAACCTTAGGAACAAACTTATAAGTTAATAATACAACAAGGTTCATGGATCTTAATACACCTATATCCTCAACTGTATTACCTGTTTGCAAAAAAAATTCTGTTTAAACTTCTTGTACGTGATATTTACTTTATTAATCTATCGCCTATTACAAAGATTTCATCTTGTGTTAATTGCTATAAATCAATGTTTGATGTTGTAAAATTTCTTATAAATTTAATTTACTTCTTAAAAAAAGCAGTAATGAATTTACTTGCGAAGCATTTTATAGATTAAGTGATAATATATATGGCATTGTGATTTTATAAAAGTTAATAGCACAAATGAAATACTTGATAAATAGAATTCATTAATCTGGTCATTAAAGGTATATATTTTTGCTAGATGGTTTTTTTCTTATTTGTTTGTACTGTATACCTTTTTTACCTGTTGCAATTGTATTTGAGTAATACTGTTTTCTGTTTATATTTAGTTTGTATGTGCGATCAACGTTAATTATTTCTTTCTAATTCTGTAAAAGAAAATTTTCATTCATCATTTTTATAGTTACTTAGATACTTAGATGTTTTGATACTGAAATGATTCAGTTTCTAATACGATTCAGATGCTGATATGGTTCAAGAGCATGTAAGCTGTCATTGAAACATTTCGTATGTGTACTATTTTAGGTTAATGCAAAAAATGTATTTTCTTGTAATTTTTGAATGTTTTGGCCTTAATTATACTTTTGTTTTTTGTTTCTTTGAGGTTATGTGACTTTTTTCTCTAAATTTTTTGCCAGTTTGATTTATT